AAAAGTATTGTCGTTATCATCGGGTTGATAATCATGACACGGATGAGTGTTTTACCTTGAAACGAGAGATTGAAAGACTTATCCAAAGGGGTCATTTGAATAACTTCATCAAGGGGGCTACACAGCAGCCCAACCACGTATGGAGGAAATCTTCAGAACACGTGGCGTGCACGCAACAGGAGACACGAAGGGCAGAGAAAAGACACATTGGAAATGAGAGTGACGAGGAGGGCTCGGATGAGCCAGGGCCGAAGCGGGACAAGAGGCACCATGACATCTATTTCATTTATGGAGGTAATGCAGGCGGGGACTCTTCGTCCCTTCGAAAGAAATGGGCTCGTCAATTGTACATTGGTGAGATCATGCACTCTCCAATGAAAAAGAAGGTACGACGTGAACCTATATGTTTTACTGATGATGACCTACCACCATGTCCAAGCCCACACCGGGATGCCATGGTTATCAAAATGGAGATCAATGATCTTGTCATACACCGTACCCTGGTCGACACGGGAAGTTCCGTGAACATAATGTACCTCGACACTTTCGAGAAACTGAAGCTGTCCAAAGGAAAACTCCATCCGATAAAAACCCCATTGTCCAGGTTCACGGGTGACTCTATCGAGGCAGAAGGAGTCGTCACAGTCCCGGTGGAGGTAGGGGACACATCCCATAAAGTGAAACTTAACATGGAGTTCGTAGTCGTCCGATTGACATGTGCACATAATCTTATACTCGGACGACCAGGGCTAGAAGATTTGCAGTGCATTGTATCCCCGATACATCTCTGTATTAAGTTCCCAACACCAACCGGAGTGGGGATAGCACGCGGGAGCCAGAAGCTCGCCCGAACATGCTACATAAAAATCACAAAGAAGGTGGGGCGGCATGGCCACCAGGTGAACACCGTCGCCACACAATACCTACAAGATGAAGAGCGAAGACCCCGTGCTGAACCAGCAGAAGGGACAGAAGAGGTCACCCTTGACCCTGCAATCCCAGAGCGCAAGGTTAAGATAGGCACCGGATTGTCGGCTGAGCTCCGTGCTGAGATCATAGCCGTCCTGACTATGTACCAAGGTGTATTTGCAAGAGGACCAGAGGACATGCCAGGCATCAATAGAGATGTCATCTCTCATCGCCTAGACGTAGACGCTGCGTCAAAACCGGTGAAACAAAAGAAACGTTACATGTCCTCGGACAGGCGGGAGTTCGTGAGGAAAGAAGTGGGCACCTTGTTAAAGATCGGCCACATCAAGGAGGTAAAATACCCAGAATGGTTGGCAAACGTGGTATTGGCACCTAAACCCCCAACATGGAGGATGTGTGTTGATTACACTGACCTAAACAGGGCATGCCCGATGGATCCATTCCCATTGCCTAACATCGACCAATTGGTGGACGAGACAGCAGGGTGCGAGTTGATGAGTTTCATGGATGCTTTCAGTGGATACCACCAAATTCGCATGCATGAGGATGATGCAGAGAAAACCTCATTCATGACTCCAGAGGGTGTTTTCTGTTACTTAGTCATGGCGTTTGGACTGAAAAACTCTGGGGCAACGTACACTCGCATGATCTCTAAACTTTTTCGACCTGTCCTAGGCCGCACCATGGAGGCCTACGTGGATGATATGATTGTGAAGAGTAAAAGAGCAGGTACGCATGCCGTGGATTTGGCAGAGGTGTTCAAAATCATGGAGAAGTTCAATCTTCTTCTCAATCCAAAGAAGTGCACGTTCGCCGTGCAGGGAGGGAAGTTCCTGGGTTACTTGGTAAGCAGAAGAGGAATCGAGCCAAATCCGGAGAAAGTCAAGGCCATTCTCAAAATGGAACCTCCTCGTAATGTCAAAGAAGTGCAGCGATTGACGGGACGCTTAGCGGCTTTGAACCGCTTCTTATCAAAACTAGCAGAGAAAGCCACGCCATTCTTCCACATCATGAAGAAATCAAAGGGTTTCGTATGGACTGAGGAGTGCCAAAAGTCATTCGAGGGATTGAAAAACTACCTCTTGTCTCCTCCTGTCTTGTCCAAACCTGAGGCGGGGGAGACATTATACCTATACCTAGGGGTTTCACCAAGTGCAATTAGTTCTGTCCTGGTGCGTGAAGATGGTGGCGTCCAGAGACCCGTTTACTACGTAAGCAAAACTTTGAGGGACGCTGAGCTACGGTACACAACCATAGAAAAAACTGTTCTATCCGTGGTGTGGACGGTCAAACGGCTCACACAATACTTCCAAGCTCACCCTGTCCATGTACTGTCACACCAACCCCTGGGTGCCTTAATGAGAAGTCCCACGGCTTCCTCGAGGATGGTCAAATGGGCAGTGTATCTAAGTCAATTTCATATAGAGGTGAAGCCAAGACCTTCCATCAAGGGGAAAGCTCTTGCAGATTTCATAGTAGAATGCACAACGCGGGAGGAAGCAACGAAGATGAAGCATGGTGACGATGAACAAGAGTGGTGGATATTGTCCACGGATGGCTCCTCCGCGGCCAAATCTTGCGGGGGAGGGGTGGTCCTCACCACGCCCGAAGGCTTCAGGGCCTATTATGCTATTCGGTTCAACTTCAAGGTGTCGAATAATGAGGCAGAGTACGAGGCTCTACTATGTGGTCTACGCTTGGCGGCGAACATGAGGGCGGAGAAGGTCAGGATACGGTGTGATTCAAAACTAGTGGTTGGACAGATCACGACTGAGTTTGAGGCGAAGGAAGAACGTATGCGGCTATATCGTGACGCTGCCCTGGAACTTCTGAAATTGTTCATCGCCTATGAAATTGAACAGATACCAAGAGCCCAAAATGTCGAAGCAGACATGTTATCCAAACTAAGTGCAGAGACACCGGAAAGGATTTCAAAGATTGCGAGGATAGAAGAGTTGGACACTTCCAGCATATATGCGTGCCCAGTCCAGGCCATAACCACGAGGGACGTAGACTGGATTGACTGCCTCATCAAGTATATCAACGAGGGAGTGCTGCCCGCGGAGGAGGTTGAAGCCAAGGTGACTAAGATGAGGGCGCCGAGTTATACCATTTTGAATGAGAAACTGTACAAGAGGTCATACAATGGCACGCTTCTCAAGTGCTTACGACCAGATGAGGCCAAGGTCGCCATGGAAGAGATACATGCAGGGATATGTTCAGCTCACCAAGGAGCACACACCATGTCGCGAAAAGTAATCCTACAAGGTTTCTTCTGGCCAACCATAGTTAAGGATTGCGCTGAATTTGTCAAGAGGTGTGTGGTGTGTCAAGAGTTCCAGAAATCTTTGGGACGTCCAGCCACCAACTACACCCCCATCAGCACGGCTATACCTTTCGCAAGGTGGGGAATAGATCTCATTGGTGCCTTACCAAGGGGAACAGGGAGTGTGAGATGGGTTATCGTTGCCATAGACTATTTTACTAAATGGATAGAAGCAGTACCCCTGACAAGCATCACTAAAGGGCAATGTAGGAAATTTGTCATGAAGCACATCCTTTGTCGCTTTGGAGTACCCCAACAGATCATAACTGATAATGGGAGGCAATTCGGAGCATCCGGATTTAACGAATTTTGTGAGAGTTGGGGGATCAAACACAGCAATGCGTCAGTCGCATATCCCCAGGCGAATGGTCAAGTGGAGAATGCAAACCGCACGATCATGGATGGTTTGAAGAAAAAGCTAGAAGCCGCCGGAGGGGAGTGGGCTGAAGAACTACCACAGATACTCTGGGCATACAGGACCACGCCAAGAAAGGCCACAGGCAAGACACCATTCGCCTTGACATATGGTTTCGAGGCGAGGGCGCCAGCAGAGGTAATTCTCCATAGTCGCCGAGAAGAAGAATATGACCCCGAGACGAACGAGGAGGTCATGGCGACTGAGCTTCTTTTTATTGAAGAAAGAAGAGAAGCGGCTTTCTGCCGTGCAGAGAACTATAGAAGACAAGTGAAGGGATACCATGATTCTCGAGTTTGCAAACGCAACTTTGAAGTTGGGGACTATGTCTTGAGAAAAAGGGAGGTCAGCAAACCCTTGGAAGGGGGGAAATTTGCCAAAAATTACGAAGGCCCTTACGTGATTAAATCAGTGATCCGTCCAGGGACGTTCAAACTCCAGACGCCGAAAGGAAAAGAAATTGAGAGGACTTGGAACGCAGAACACTTGCTCAAGTTTTACCATTGAAAATTTATCATTAATACTCCACCTGATGATTATGATGTATGGTAACCACGTATGGTGGTAAACGCGGTCCCTTTCCATCCACTGTTCGGATAAGAGATCTCCTTGATCCACACAAGAGTGAATAATGGCAGTCCCTGGCCTCAAAAAAAAAACATGGTGTCATCCAAGGACACCGTGGGTGTCAAACTCACCCAAAACAAAAACAAATTACAAGGTGTCATCCAAGGACACCGTGGGTGTCAAACTCACCCAAAACAAAAACAAATTACAAGGTGTCATCCAAGGACACCGTGGGTGTACAACTCACCCAAAACAAAAAAAAATATGAAATAAAAAACCAGTAAGTAGCCAGGCATGTCTCCTATGACATAGCTGAAATTCTCAACACGCAAGGGGTATAGACTCGCCCCTAGAAAGGGGACGAGGATACATCGCAAATCGATCCCAACAAATGCGTAACCCTCAGGGTTGTATGGTCAGGATGCATCTGTGAAATTTATCGGATAGCGGCCATGTTTCCCAAAAAACGTTGTGTGCCTCAGAGCAAGCCTAGGTCACTCAAGTGTTAGGTTCGCTCACTTAGTCCTACTTTTTGGGGCTAAGTGATGCGCGCAATGTAGCGAAGGAGGAGGTGTCAACGACACCTTGTGCCTATCGTTGTCCTTAGTCACTCTATATAAATACACAATGCCTCAATTCAAAATTAGGCATATATGGGGTGATAAATGCACCAAAGTTTTACACTTGGTGTAGTATCACCGTATACTACTATAAGTGATCATGCAAACCGTGCCAAACGAGGCATGGTCGCAGTGTGGTCTCATAAAATCAAAATATTAGTCAAATAATGGATTATGCGATAATACTAAACAATAACGAAAGGAAAACAGGACATGCATCATTATTATTTTGCAATTCAAGTACTCATAATGGAAGACATGACAGAATTAAAGTCTACGCTACGTCCATCTGTCACTCCCATGCATGCTCTAAGGCACAGAAGCGGTCGAAGCTGGGTGATCTGTCTCGGAAGGGAGATCGCCAAGCTCCTCATCAGTGGGTAGTTTGTCAAAAGGAATGTAATCCAGGGGCGTGTTGGCTACCGGGATCTCAGGGTTGGGAACCTCAGGAGGAAGTCCCCAATCAGTGATGCAAGAGGTACCAACCTTATCCCTCAAGATAGGATATATTTTCTGTTGAGTGGCATATATCCCGATCTGGTAGGAGATGTAGCTCTCCAAGGCGAGTTTCTCACGACCATCTGGAGTAGATAACCAATGCTTGCTAATGTCACCAAGGTGGGCATTGATGTAGGCTTCCCGATCAGACACAAACTCTGAAGAATTCTTGTATGCATCCACGGCCTGACCTCTTGCATTCGCCAACTCCACGGCATGCATGTCTTTAAGTGTCGCGACCTCGGCTGCATGTGAATCACGACTAAGCTTGAGCGAGGCCACCTCTTTTGCCAGTTCGGTAAGTTGTAGCGACAACTCTTGCTCGCGCTCGTCCTTCCTTCGGTTCACCTCGGAGATGGATGTCAGTAGCTACAAAAAAAAAGCTAAAAATTAGTATCACGAGAAGCATAGATAAAAATGATGGGGAAATAGGAATGTTACCTCTGCCAGGCCATGGTGACTCCTCCTCTCTAGAGCAACGTTGTCAAGTGCTGAAATTTTCTCCTTCTCAGTCGCCGGGATTGTCAGTGATAAGAGCGGGGGCAACTCAATGTTACCTCGTAACCAAGTAGTCATCCCCGTAGTGGGAATGTCACTCATGCTCCGGGTGATACGGGCTGCGGTACTAGGAGCCTTGCGTTTCGCCACGGATGAAGGCATGGTTACGATAGCATCCTTTTCTTTGGTGACGGAGGGAGCCCTTGGTTTCTTGTCAGAGCGCCCCTGGTCACTACCGCGAGGTCCATCCTTGTCGAAGCTTTGGAACATCTCCAGCCGCGATGTCATATCTGCAAAAAAAAGGGGGGGGGGGGGGTATGCATATGTGTTAGTTAATATATATGCGTGTATTATCTCCTATAGACAAGGTAACTGTGGACAACCTTGATCCGTGGACGTGGATGCGTGTGCACCCGAACATGGTGATGGCGAATAGAGTCCAACCGTGGTTAGGCGGTCCTCGGAAGTAAAGGCAGAGAGGCTATACGGTCCTCCAGAAAGAATCATAGCCGGCCATGTCTCCTGGTCAACCGGAAGTTTCAGGTACGAATACTTCTTAAATCGACAATTCAAAGACGATGAAAAAGGTAACGGAGATCCAGACGACACATAGACAAATTCTTCTTTCCAATTGGCTTCGTTGCTACGGGTGACCTTCCACATGTCAAAGTGGTTGCGCTGAGAGATAGACACCCAGGATAGACTATCAGATGCCGAGCATTGCCCAGCTCGGAACATATGCTTGAAGAGGTCTAGGGACGGTTCAATCCCAAGTGTTTCACACCGGACCAAGAAAGCTACCAGATACTGATGACCGAGCGGAGTCAGGTAACAAGGTGAAATTTCAAGGTCATTTAAAAACTCGATAATCAAAGGGTGTGTGGGAAAGCGGAATCCTAATTTTATGGAAAGAATATGCACCCCGAAAAAGTGACCCTTAGGAGGATCGGTTATAATATCCTCCGAATCTGGACATCGGACAGTCATTGTGGACGGAAAAAATTTCTTATACTTTTGAAACTTGGAAACTGAGAGGCGCGACCTATGGTATAAAATGGGGCTCGGGTCTAAGGATGGATACGGGCCACGGTAGCGACGTTTTGGTGGTTTGACTGGAGCGGCTCGTGGCTTTATGGGACTAATTTCTTCAACATCAGAATTAACATCTGTCAAGGGATAAAGAAAATTCTCCAACAGTAATTCCCCGTCATCACTGAGCAATTCATCAGAGTTTATGGAATCCAATACATCCATAAGATATTGACAACTAAAATATTACGCAAAAAAAAAGGACAAGAGAAAAATCAGCCGTTAATTATAAATTACTACGTATATCAGTCATCAGCTATTCATAAAAAAATTATTATTAAAAAAAAATGTGTCAAGAATGTGGCCAAGGCAACTACGGTCAAAGCAAGACACGGTCAAGGCAAGTTCAACATGCAGCTATGGTCAAACACAGGATTAATACATAGTGATGTTCCTTTACTTATTTGGGGAAAGGATAAATAAAATAAGAATAAATAAAAGAGAAGAAAGAGAAGGCAAGGAGCATACCTGTCTATGCCTGGCAAGCGGTGGCTGCGGCGGAATCGGAAAGGACACCCAAAGCAGGACAACGACGGCGCAAGCGGAGGACGGCGAAGACAAACGGTCCCTGAGGTCACCGAGGTGCGCGGGTGCCCGGCGGGAGGACCGACGGCAGTGGTGACTGAGCAACGGGAAAGATGAAACGAGACCGGAAGAAAATACGACGGGAGACGGTGCTGATTCGGCCGTAGAGGTTCTATTGCCGGCTTCACGTTGGGTCTCAGCTGGTGGTTGAGTTATTTCTCTGGTTCATTGCGGCCGGTGGAAGCTAGTGAAGGGCGACGGCAGATCGGAACTCCAAGGGAACTGGAGGGTGACGTGAGGGAACGCCGGCGGGCGGCGGGCGACTCTGGCCTGGTTGCCGACAAGCTACAGCCCGGACAGTGAAGTTCAGATGGTGACTGGTCCTCACTACCCACCTACGAAGCTAACAGGAAGGAAATAAATTTGGAGTCATGAGCTGCACACTTCAGTAAAGGAAAAGGAAAATTGAATTAGTTAAAATGATTGAGTAGGTAAAAAACAAAAACATTGACATGGTGACCATGTACATTCAATATTGACACAGCAACCATGTCTCTGTACTCCCTATAGCCGATATACTATTCGGCTTAGGAAGTGGGGGCTTGTGATGGTATAATTATCCCAACCATGGATAAATATTGATCGGATTAACATGGATGAAAGTGAGTTAGAGGTAGACGTGCACGGTAACTATGTACGGATGATGATAAGGTATAAGAAGAGCTCGTACGTGGTGACCATGGGCGGGTTAGGTGATAAAAGACTGTACATGGCGACGGTGGACAAGAGTTAGTAGAAGAATAGGGAGTACGGAGTAACCATGGATGTCATGGTAAGCTTATCCAAAGAGCACGTCCATAGCAACCATGGACGCAAGTAGAAGACCAGAGTGCACTATAGCCTTGGATGCCATGACGAGCTTATATAAAGAAATGCCCACAGTGACCCTGGACATAGTAGTAGAAGCTTATCTAAACAATCTATACATGGTGTCTCTAGACATCATGGCAAAAGCTACGTGGCGACTCCGTACGACAAACTACATCAACGACGTCTTTTCAAGATATTCACACAATCAACAAAGGATTCCGCGGATCCGGATTATTGATCTGCATATCAATTCGAACATGACGACCATGTCGCCCGAATCTTTTATGTCTTATTTTCTACTATAAAATCATGTAATCTTTGAAAAGTTAATCAAGCTAAATACACTAAATACATTACATACATTTATCTCTCTAAAGATTATCCTGAGCACTTTAATTATTTTCGGCTATCTCTTATTAATTATTTTCCGGTGGATTTACTTCCATCAATAATAATAATAATAATAATAATAATAATAATAATAATAATAATAATAATAATAATAATAATAATAATAATAATAATAATAATAATAATAATAATAATAATAATAATAATAATAATAATATAATAGCAATAATAACCACCACCACCACAACAATAATAAAACAATATAAGATATTTAACTAACAATTCTAATTTAATCAACAGAAAAGAAGTAATAAATATTGTACATGAGGTTGATATAATACATTAAACTCCTTTCTACAAATCAAGTTTTGTTCCATCACATAAATTTTATAAATATAAAATAACCCAAATAACTTGTAGTTGATTGCACATATTTTACTTTACTATTTTCATGATATATCTAATTATTAGATTTATTATGAATCAATAGAATGTAATAATGTTTTTTATATCTATACATGCAAACTCAGTGTCTTTTTTTATGTTTTGAAAGACTTGAAGTAGGCGTCTTATTCTTGCTACTATGATGACGAGTAATCTTCATCGCTCCGACACTACAACGATTTTTAATGTTTGATTTATTACATGAAACTTTAAATCACTTTTGTTCTATTAAGTGTTCAAAGTTTATTAGTTAAGTTTGAGCTTTGATGTTTGAAGTGATTAGAGCTTCAAATAAAATTTTAATACGCGTGTTTTGAATTTTCGACGTGTTTAAAATTATGTGTTAATTCTTAGACGAGAAAAAATTATTCTAGGAACCGGTAAAAGGAAGAACCGAACCGTTTACTACCGGTTCGGTTCCATAACGGTTCTTGATTTTTTATATAGGAACCGAACCGATTTCGTTAGTTAAAATTTTTATAACGGTTCCACTCATTTTGAGTAAAAACCGAACTGATCCCAGCCCTATTATTGAATAAAGAGGTTCATTATATAATTTTGTCACGTTGGTGGCCGTACGTCATATTTAGGAAAATAAATATTGTTCAGTCATATATATCTTTTTGATAAATTCTCATGTGTCATATTCAAAATACATTTTAGTTAGATTTATATCCATAAAGCGTATGTTAATTTATATAGTTAATTGGAGTGCACTTGATGTTTTATAAAATAAAGTTGTACTACGTATTAAGTTTATACACACAGATACGCGAGTCTTCAATTAATTAGAAGTTAGAATCAAAGTATCAAACACTAGTGTTTGATGATATGATAAATTGATAAGAATTCGAATATTGTAATAAGAAACTTTTTGATTGGACTGATTTGAATCTCATAAAACACCTAATCAAAACAAATTAGATCAAACTTAAACTATCAGACTAGATCAATTCATATTAGACCAAACTTCGATTGTTGTAAATTACACGTACAATAAAAAATTATCAAACCAGATCATACTTGACAAAACATTAGACCAAATTAGTTTAGATTAGAACAGACAATATCAAATTAGAAAATTTCAATCCAATTAAAAATATACTAACTTTACACACATATGAATTGAACGAGTTCAAAGATCTAATTTAGAAATTCGGATGGCTAGAGACCTAGAGGGTCAATGGACTCTAGTGTATAGGAATTGAAAATGTACTCTAAAAAGGTGGCAACATGTTTCGGACTTTCTTCCTTCTCCAATTTAGGAATCCAACGTTTTGACTTAATTAACACCATGAAAGGGTAATAAGTATGTTCTTTAATTGGCCTATCAGATCGAGTTGCAATTATCAAATCAGCACATAAAAATTGGACTACGTGTAACTTAGAAATTATAACTTTACTGATCACATCAGATCAGAAAATATCAGTTTAAATAAAAACATTATTGTTAATGATGATTGGTTGGTGATGTGATGTGACCAGGGATACGGTAGAGGAATACTCGGAAGAAGTTGTGAAGTTTTGTGGAAGATTAATGAGTATTTTGTCAACAAACTTGGGATTAGATGAGGGATTTTTACAGAATGCTTTTGGAGGTGCTGATGATATTGGTGCTTGCATGAGGATTAACTTCTACCCAAAATGCCCTCAACCAGACCTAACCCTCGGCCTCTCTTCTCATTCCGATCCCGGCGGTCTCACCGTACTCTTGCCAGACACCGACGTTCTCGGCCTCCAGGTCCGGAAAAATAGCGACTGGGTGACCGTCAAACCAGTCAACCAAGCCCTCATTGTTAATATTGGTGATCAAATTCAGGTTAGCATACTAATTAATTAGCTAACATATTCTGAGCTGTATATATGAGAGCATTCCTAAATGGAACTAAACCATATCCCAAACTCCTGGATCACTATTTTTTTTTACAAAATATGACATTTACAGTCTTTTCTTTATCTGTTTTGATCACTATATGATTTAGAATTGAATTAAGTAACTTTTGTATTTAAAAGCAACCATGATAATTATGTAGTATATTTGTTAACTTTATTCATGCTCAGGGCCGTCTAATGAATTTGGAGGCCCCGGTTCTAAATGAGAAATTTTGGCCCTCTAAAATAAGAAAAATACAAAATTTAACAATGAAATACAAATAAATTGGACATTTTAATGAACCATAAATTTTGTAATGTTTAAAGTACACAAATTAGAGAATCTAAAAATCAAATTTCGAATAATACATATCATCTAGAAAAATCAAACTATAACCAAGAGGGCTGTTCCTGTACATATGGATGTACAGGAAGCTCCGTACGGACAAAGCCATCCGAGGCCCTTCCCGGTCGAATTTTTTGATGAAATTTTTTGAGCATGTTCTTCATCAAGTCTGGTTTATCCATACCAAATTTCAGCTCAAAATTCGATCGGGAAGGCAGTCAAATAAATTCTTGAAATATACTGCACATTATATGTGCGCAGAATACGCCATATATTTCAAGAATTTATTTGACTGCCTTCCCGATCGAATTTTGAGCTGAAATTTAGTATGGATAAACTAGACTTGATGGAGAACATGCTCAAAAAAGTTCATCAAAAAATTCCACCCGGAAGGGCCTCTAATGGCTTTGTCCGTACGGAGCCCCCCGTACATCCATATGTACATGATCATTCCTCCTATAACCAATACTACATACGAAATTTTTGGAGGCCCTCTATAAGAGTGGGCCCCGGTGCCAAGCACCTATTGCACCTCCTAAAAGACGGCCTTGTTCATGCTATAAACTCTCATTACGCATGGGCTACATATCACCAATACTTTTTAATGTGAAAAGACTGAAATGCGGAAATGAGTACGGTGATGCGATAATAAAATATAAAAATATAGGGTATGGGAGCGGAGTACACATAATTTAATATTAAAAAACATAAGAACTTATTTGCGCATGTGAAAGTTAAACGCAAGGGAGGATCTACTTTATTTATTACAATGGTGGATTGAAACACATGGTAACTTATTTTTTTCAATTTTTTTTAGTGTAATATTTTTCATTTTTAAAATTTAGCTAGCCCACTCCACTTATGTTTAAGTGTGGTATAATTTATCTTCAGTTCAGTCCGATTCAGATTTCTGAATCCGCCTCCGGTTCAACGCCTATACTATTATTTTTTCTTTGTAGCTGTCACTAAATTTTGCCAAAATCAAACTATAAAATTGATGAAAATATACTCTTATAATTGATAATTGTCAAACTGACTTATATTATTTAGAAATGTGATCTAGGAAATCGGAATGGAAAACTTTTGCTGTTTTTTTTCATTTACTTTTAACAAAATATTGATACGTGTATCCACGTGAGTCGAGTGTTCAATTTTTCAGAGAAGTACAAAAAAGATTACCAAACTTTTATAAAGCATTTAAAATACCGCATCCAAGAATGTTTTACACGCAATACTCTGTACCTAAAACGATATATTGCTAAAATGCGTGAGTATTAATTAGGGCTAATTCATCCCTTAATTCTATTAACAAATACATGGGTATTTATACAGGTGTGATACAAAAGAATGGAGCCCTTCGGCCCAAATAATCTATACAAAATAACTAATAGCCCAATAATGACCAACACCCCCCTCAAGTTGGAGCATGCGGATCAAAATGCCCAACTTGCTGAGTAAGTATAAAAATTGTCGTTTGCCAAGAGCCTTCGTAAAAATATCAGCTAGTTGATCCATAGTGGAGACATGCCTAGCCGAGATAATCCCATCTTGAAGCGCATCCCGAACATAGTGACAGTCCACTTCAATATGCTTGGTGCGTTCATGAAAGACAGGATTATGTGTAATATGAAGAGCAGAGCGACTATCACAGAACAAAGGCATGGGCCGAGAATGTTGAATACCCAATGTGAGGAGGAGACCGCGAAGCCATTTTAATTCAGCAGTGGTAGCAGCCATAGAGCGATATTTCGCTTCAGTAGAGGATCGAGAGACGGTGTGTTGTTTCTTGGTTTTCCAAGAGATAGGAGAGTCTCCAAGAAAAATCATCCATCCGGTAAGAGAGCGGCGAGTAAGAGGACAACTGGCCCAATCAGAATCACACCATCCTGTCAAAGTCAAGTCACACGTGGAGCGTAGAAGAATACCCTGTCCTGAAGTTCCCTTCAGATAGCGGACCACACGTAAAGCTGCCATCCAATGTTCCTGTCTAGGGGCCTGCATAAATTGAGACAAAATATGAATAGCATAGGCAAGATCAGGACGAGTGAACGATAAGTATATTAGCCGCCAACCAAGACGTCTAAAGGACTCCGGATCAGACAAGAGAGAACCCGTAGCAAGTGCCATATTATGATTCTGTTCCATGGGAAAATGTGTGGGTTTGGCGCCAAGAAGGCCGGTCTCACAAATGATATCCAACGTATATTTCCGTTGACATAAAAATAAGCCATCAGGTCCTCGTGCCACTTCTATGCCCAGAAAATATTTGAGTATTCCAAGATCCTTCATGTGAAAGCAAGAGTGTAAATACGATTTGAATGTAGCTAGGGCAGCAGAATCATTCCCCACAACAATCAAATCATCCACATACACAAGAACGTGTAAAAACACACCCCCTTTACGAAAAAGTAAAGAGGGAATAATCAGAATAAGATTGAGCAAAACCATAGCTTTTTAAGGAAGCAGCCAACTTGGAAAACCAACACCGAGGGGCTTGACGCAAGTCATACAAGGATTTTTTCAATCGACAGACAAGACCAGGTCGAGAAGAATAAAAACCAGGAGGGGGTTTCATGTAGTCCTCCTCATCAAGATCGCCATGGAGAAAGGCATTATGAACATCCATTTGATGTAATTCCCAATTTTGAGCTGCTGCAACAGCTAAAAAAGTTCGAACCGTAACCATCTTTGTGACCAGGGCAAATGTCTCAGTATAATCAATACTTTCCCTTTGATGATTGCCAAAAACAACCAATCTAGCTTTGAGACGCTCGATAGTCCCATCAAAATGATATTTAAGTTTGTAAACCCACTTACAACCAAGGGCCTTTTTACCCGGGGGAAGCTGCTGCATAACCCAGGTATGATTATTTTCCAAAGCCTGAATTTCATCTTGCATAGCCGTACGCCAGCCTTCATCAGACATAGCGTCAGTAAAGGAGCGAGGTTCCTGTCCTGCAAGGATAGCTCCAAGAAATTCCCGATGACGGGAAGAATATTTGTCACACTTAATAAAGTTAGCTATGGGATAAGAAGTAGCTGAGGTGCTGACGGCGCCGAAGGACGACTGAGATGGGCTGATGACCGTATTTGTTGTAACAAAATCACGGAGCAAAACAGAAGTCCGTTTAGCTCTCATACCACGGCCCAAAGGAACTGAAGCCATCTGGTCAGTATCAGCATTATTCAAGGGGGGAGTGGTTTCGGCTGCCATGTCTTCTGTGGCCTGGGAGTGCATGGAAGAGTCTTCATGGGCAATTTCCAGAGCATGCGTATCTTCTAGACTGGGAGGATCCACTCCTGCTAGAAGCATATCAACTGTAATATCCGACGGGGAGGTCAAAAACGGGAATTCATTCTCACAAAATTATACGTCTCGAGATACAAATATATTTCATGTTTCCCAATCATATACTTTCCAACCTTTCTTGCCATGGGGATAGCCGACAAATACACATTTGCGACTACGAGAACAAAATTTATCACCCCGAGTTTGTAAATTGAGGGCAAAGCAGAGGCATCCAAAAATACGTAAATGAGAAAACGTCAGAGGTACACCGGTGAGAACTTCGTAGGGAGTCTTATTCCATAAGACCCCCGATGGAGTCCGATTAATAAGATATACCGCCGTAAGAACACATTCACCCCATAAACGAATGGGAATGTGGGCTTGAAACATCAAAGCCCGTGCTACATTCAGGATGTGTCGATGTTTGCGCTCTACACGCCCATTTTGTTGGAGTGTATGAACACACGAGGTTTGAAACAACATTCCATGAGCATCAAAATGAGGTAACATGCAGTTAAATTTAGTGCCATTGTCACTACGCACTATTTTTACTGCCACCTCATACTGTTTTTCAACCATAGCAAGAAACGAAATAAAATACTTGTGCACTTCCTTTTTATCCCGAAGAAGATATACCCAAACAGCCCGAGAGTAATCATCAACAAGTGTCAGAAAATAAACAGCATCACAAGTAGATGGGGTTTTATAAGGCCCCCATAAATCACAATGAATAAGTTCCAGAATTCTACTAGCTTTATTTGAACTGAGAGGAAAAGAATCACGAACTTGTTTAACTTGTGGACACACTTCACAAGGTTTATTCAATTTCTTCTGAGTAGAACTATTAATAAAAGAAGGCAACAATTTAAGAACCCGATCCGAGGGATGACCCAACCGGCGATGCCACAACTCAAACTCCGTCAAAGCCCCCCCTTGAACCGCGTGTAAAGTAGGAATCTTCCTGAAGTAGAACAGCCCATCTCGCCTCTCACCGGCTCCAATCAGGCTCCTCGGGTGTGGGTCCTGTATAGCACAAAGAGTATTAGTAAATGTGACTAAACAGCCGGATTGATCTACCAATTGTGACACAGAGATGAGATGACAGTTTAATCCTGGCACATATAAAACACACTCAAGAGTGAGACCCTTGGAAAGCGGGACCTGGCCCACTAATAAAGCAGCAACCTATCTACCATCCGGTAATCCTACCGGGCAATCATTTATTCTCGTGGGGTTAATTAAACATGTGGGGTCACCCGTAACATGATGTGATGCCCCGGTATCAATTATCCACTCAATATATGGTAAATTCTTACCCGACATGCGATCACAAGTTCGGTTTTGGGTATCAAGTAAATTTAAAAGAGTCTGTATTTGCTCCTTACTTAACGTGGCCAAACTAGTTTCGCTACCAGAGAGAGCCACTCCCAGACGCTTCACCACCGGATGAGGGCTGAATAACATCGGGGGAGTTTACTGGTGCCACCACCGCGTGAGTGCGAACACCACCCCCTCGGCCAGAGTGTCCTTCTCGCCCAGCAATCTGCCCAGCGGTCTGCCCCTTTGATCGTTGACGCTCCTCCCATCAGTCGGGGTATTCGTGGAGCTTAAAACATGATGAGACCTCATGCCCCTTCTGCTTATAGTGAGTACAGATGGGTCGAGGACGATCTGCCCGGTCATCGCGGTTCTTCCCAGTCCTAAGAGCAAAGGCTTGAACTTCTCCCGTCAACGCAGACTTTCCACGTGCAATTGCCCGTGACTGCTCCTCTTGTAAAAATGCCTGATGGGCACGGTTGAGGTCTGGCAATGGTGTATGAGATAGAAGATTTGACCTCACTGTCCCAAATGCCTCATCATCTATTCCGATCAGGAATTGATGCAGCTTCTCTTCCCCGCGATCTGCAGGGAACTTATCAACCACTCCACACGTGCACAGCCCGCAAGTGCAGGAATGCAGAGGCTTTAGGCGATTCAGCTCGTCAAACAGGGCCATTAATTCCGTGTAATAGGAATCTACAATTGTTGATTTTCCCTGCTTACATCCGATGATTAAAGCCCGCAATTGTTGAAGCCGAGGTCCGTTGGCGACATTGTACCTCTTCTCCAAATAGACCCACAACGGCCGAGCTTCCTCATGAAAGGGTATGGAGACCACCACAGTTGGTTCCATACTCCTCAAAATCCACGAGACCACCCTGGAGTTGTTAGTCTCCCAATCAAGTTTCCTTGCCGCCTCAGTCGGTTCTTTAATTGAGCCATTGATGAAGCAATGTTTCCGGCGAGCCTTCAACGAGAGGGCAAACGCACGAGACCACGAGACATAATTGTCTCCCTTGAAGATGACATGAGTAATCAGGTTTCCAGGCTGGTGACCCGCGCCTAGATAGTATGGTGATGTCGGATCTCTCATCTCCGGCAAGTCGAAGCACGCTGGTGTTGACCTGCGGAATTGAGAGGAAGAAGAGAGCTTCTGCGCAACAGACCCCTACGCGAGCTCTGATACCATGCTAAAATGCGTGAGTATTAATTAGGGCTAATTCATCCCTTAATTCTATTAACAAATACATGGGTATTTATACAAGTGTGATACAAAAGAATGGAACCCTTCGGCCCAAATAATCTATACAAAATAACTAATAGCCCAATAATGACTAACGTATATACCCCAATCAAATATAATACGGAGTATACTATCTATGTTCTAAGCCTTTATTCAACATTTTTTAAGGAAGTCTTTAACATTAAAAAAATAGTGAAAAGTAAAAACTGGAAAGTATGCCGTAGTGAAATAGTCAAACCGGAATCCCGGGTCTTTTTTTTTTTTTTTTACTATAATCCCCAGTAGAAATTAGAATTGAGGTTTACACACTTCTGTGATTTTTTGTCGAGTTTAATTAGGTTGATACCACAGAAGTACAATGGTACGGTACATGCTCGGTTTAGAATTTGCGATCATGGGAAGCAAATTAAACATTTCTTTATACATTAAGCTTTGCTTGGAACCCATAAAACAAATAGTGGGGGAATTTAGAATGAGATGAAATTTTGTGAGAAATAACAAAAAATAAAAATAAAAGGCAATAGTTTGACTTTGGATATTTGTAAAAAATATAAATGTATTAACGCATTAGTTATTTTAGCATATTTTTAAAATAAAATTGATCTGAGCATAAAATAGTTGTTTTCTGCAATTAATGTTCATAAACGTACTTTCTAATGTTCCAACATAAGCGCGCATAGAATACATCTTTCCGTACGTTTTTATTTTATTTTTATAATTACGTCGAATTGCATGTGTATGATATTGACATTTGCAAAACATTTGGACAAAGGGGGCAATCATAATAGTTACTATAGTCAAAAGATAGAACAATGATCAACAAACTATCCGCTCGATTATGAGACTTTTAAGGATCAATAGAGTTTTTTAATAAAAAACAATGTAATAAACGTGCGAATATATATATATATATATATATATATATATATATATATATATATATATATATATATATATATATATATATATTCAATAAATTATAAATGTGATCGTTGGATTTAGTTTAGTCACCTGATTGATAATTATTTTAAACTATTTTAATTGACCAATAATATGTCTTTGGAGATTTTACCAACACAAGTAAAGGACTTGGTGTTACATTCTAAAAAATCAACCGCGCACATAGGAGGAATAAATCCGAATTTTAATACTCCGTATAGCACTTTATTATTTCATATTTCACCAGTGTGGGACTTCAACATGCTTGAATATATGTTTATGCAGGTGTTAACCAATGCGATATACAAAAGCGTTGAACATAGAGCGATTGTGAACTCAAACAAAGAGCGTGTGTCACTCGCATATTTCTATAGTCCCCGCGGTGATTTGGTGATACAACCGGCGAAAGAGTTTGTGTCGCCAGAAAATCCAGCATTATATTCACCAATGACTTATGATCAGTATAGACTCTACATAAGGATCAAAGGACCCAATGGGAAAGCACAACTTGAGGGATTGGGAAAATCAGAAGCATAATAAGGGAAAATTCCCTAAATAGGAGTAAAAAAAATTGAAATTCCAAAACACGACTATCATGTTTTCTATTCCCTAAATATGAGTAATTTCTATCAAGTTTGATATTACCACGCTTTAAACATGACCGTTTTACTAAACTTGACAAAAACTACTTCTGTTTAGGGAATAAAAACATGAAAGTTCTAATTAGAAATTTCAAAACGCTTTTATTCCTATTGAGGATAATTTCTATAATAGTAATAAATTAAATACATGAAGCGAAGCTAAGCTAAATGTGACCATAGCTTCGCACGAGTTACTTTTGCCCTGAACATATAAATAAGGGCATAATTAAGGATAATACATACTCCGTACTTTTGATCATTTATTTACTTAGCCCCAACTTCCGTTTGTATGGACATTTACTAATATGTATAAGTTCCCACTACTTTACCTCGAATGTACGTTGTTTGTGTTCGTGGTTGACACTATGTGTGTTCGATCATGACACATGTGCTACTTGTTTTTATTAGTTATCCCCGTATCATATAAATTAAATAATTGAGATGTTTACAAAGTACGGTTAAGACCCGTGGTTCCATCCTAAAAGATTAACCTGATAGGAGGAGTAGCTCAAAATCTTATATATATAGTGTTTAATTATTTTACAGTTTTCCGGTGTGGGACAAATACTTTAACACGCCCCCTCAGCCCGAACCGGGCTGGACAATATTGGGGTGTATAAATGGGCCAAACAGACCCTTAACAAGCTACCCGTAATATGGGTGCTAAACAAGCAGTCAAACCTCAACCGGAATTGGATCTGATACCATGTTGCAGTCAAACCACAACCTTAACCGGAATTGGATCTGATATCATGTGAAGACTCGGAGTTTCATCCTAAAAGGTCAACCTGATAGGAGGAGTAGCCCAAAGCCTTATATAGTGTTTAATTATTTTACAGTTTTGCGGTGTGGGACAAATACTTTAACAAGTACAGAAATTACAAAAATTACGATATAATTATGGATGTTTTTACTTGGACTGTAATTTGCTGGTCTGGTCTGGTCGGGTCTGATCTGGTTTGGTCTGGTCTGGTTTCTTTGTATTTTTATAACTATCCAAGTCCGGCCTGGTCTGGTCGGATCTGGTCCGGTCTGGTCTGGGACAAATTACAGTCCAAATAAAAACATCTTATATCCTATACAACATAAACTCTAGGAAGTATAGTTATTACTATTATTTTTACAAATGAGATAATTCTCACTTTGATGATCATTATCCACTATCAACACCCCCCTCAAGCACAGCTTGGGATTTGTCACAACCCATAGGTTGTGTCGAAAGAGCAACAACAAATATCTGGATAGACTTTTGGTGAAAACATCAACAACATTCAAGTGAGAAGGCACAAATTGAGTAAGGAGTCGATCAGACATAACTTGCTCATGAATAAAATGACAATCAAGATCAATGTGTTTAGCCTGTTTGTGAGAGACGTGATTTGTGCTAATGAAAATGATACTCTTGTAATCTTGTTATGACATAAAATCATATATAGGAGTCCGGGGCAATGAAACACGCAGATCTTTAAGGAGATGAGAAAGCCAAAGAATAGATGCATATGTATTTGCTAATGCATGATATTTGGATTCACAACTTGACCGAGAAACAATGGACAGCTTTTTAGAACTCCACAATTATATTCAAGATTCGGGCCTAAGAACACGGAGTGACAAGAGATAGAGCAGCTCGTATCAAGGCAAGATGCCTAGTCTGCATCAGAATATGCAAGTAGATGAGGTGTAGCAGCTCGCGTAAATTTTAAACCAAAATGGGGTCTTTTCACATAACGTAAAATACGTTTGACAACTTCATAATGAGTCACAGTTGGGTGTTGTACGAATTGACGTTGTCAGCTCCCAGGTAGAAGTCGCAACATTTGGTCTAACTGCACATGCACAACCAATCCTAGCCACTTACTTCTCTTCCTCTCAACAGACAGAGACTTCAACATCTCACGGGGAACCTCAGCAGACCTCTCTACCCCTTCCAGAGCAATTGAGGATATAGTCAAAGGTCCACAACCCCACACCGCTGCCCCTTCTTTAACCACATCAAGTCTTGCTCCTACTATATCATATTTTTCTCCGTTTGCTTAGACATTGTCACCATTTACTTTATCAGTAAGCCACCTATCGGTCATCTTTACAGAGGCTATGACAACAAAATGCACTTCAGCTTCCTGACCCCTCCACCTCGTTCATTACAAAGGTGTACTTCCATCAGTGTTTGGAGTCCACTTACAATCCTTCGAAGCATCATTCTTTTCAAAGGTACAAACTGCAATAACCGTAGTTGTACAGGGCTCTGAATAAACACAAGCAATCCAAGTACATCCAACACCCACTCACCATACCCCTTCCAACACCCATAGCCCAACTATTACCCTAACCCTATCTATACACTCCTCACACCACTCACCACACAGAATCCGGGACACTGAAATAGTATCCTCCCCAACCTCAAACACCACCCACATTAACCCAAATATCGTTCCCATCAGCACCCTAATAGAAATCCTCTTAGCCCACCTACTAACAGAATCATATATCAGCCCTCACCAACTAGCCCTTCTCTGCCTCCTAGAAACCCAAACTACTTGTCGCGATAGATTTTATGCCTCCAAATGTCCACATGAGGATCCTAATGATTTGGAACCTCATGAGGAGGAGAAAAGGTGAAGATACTTGAGAAAGGAATCTCATCTGCTCAACCTTCATCCTCTCATACCCAACCGCCCTCTTCTCAACCTCAACAGCTTTCCTTTCAACCCAAAACTACCCAACTACCCCTAACTGTGTGTTGGTCCGGTTGAACCAGCCGGAATTTCTATAGGTTTATATATTATAGATGCAGTTCGAGGATTGAAAGTAAGTCCCAACGTTACCACATCGATATCATTAAAGTGTTGAGGACATCCTTCAGAATCTGTCTCTTGAGTGATGTCTACGGAAGTCTTTGTGACCCTGGAGTTACCTTACCCATACCGATGCAATCCAGTTCCATCTTCAGAGATAACCTTGAACAATAGATTATGGATGAGGATTGGGTTGGAAAGACAGAGACGGAAGAGGAGAAAAGAGAAAGGATCGATGGGCCAGGAGTCGGCTGAAAATCTCCATCTCCGATCCGAATTCATGGAACTTAGGCCTGACAAAGTCAAACAAAGAGAAGACTACAATGCCATAACAGAGGAACTCTCAAGGATCATCAGACAAAAGGTACCTAAGATTGAAAAACCATCGGGCAAACCCAAGTTGAAAACTCCCTGGGAGAACATGAGAATCAATGCTCCTTTCCAAGACGAGATCGGGTCAAAAATTCGGAGATCAAGAGTAACGAGCTTAGATAAATTGAAGCAGAGGGACCTAGGACATCTCAAAGGTGTACGTTTAAGTAGCAGGACACATGTATATGCTGACAAGCAAGTCCGATGGTCCCGTCTTAGAAAAGCTTGTTCAGATGATAAAAGATTCAATGCTGGAGATAGTCGACTTCAAAAAGGTTGAACGCCACATTTTTTGCCATGTCAACTATCTGAAGTATACAATTGAGCTTCGCAACGGCGACCTTATCCAAATATCTGAAGGTGACCTACTAGCTTTGAGACTACATGACGTATATCAATTGAGGTGCTAGTACAGACAGTTCACGGTCAAAACAAGGATCTTAATCTTGGACTAGACGCCCTGAAGAGATATATGCTGCAAAAGTCAGGTTCTATGCTTCCCAGGATCTTCAAATCGCAATTGAAAATAACCTACCAAAGGTCAACCTCATGCCTCCGTTGAACAACGGTCCCGAGCTTGAAAATCTTCCAGTGAACTTCATTTTCTACAAGATAGACTTTGGATGTCTATCTGATACACAAGAATGAGAACAGGGTCACCTTGGCATAAGAAATCCACAAAGCTTGTTATGGGATGTTGAAGATCATCAGAAAGAACATGCAAGATCATGAAAAGAGGATCGATTGACTATCCCGAACTGATGTTATTATACATCATAGAATATTCAAGAATCAAAAAGATGCTCAAGATAATAGAGGAACACCTCAATCTAAGTAAAGATATCAGGCAATTCGAGCATTCTTTGAGGATTAGAAGATCCTTCTTTACAACTCAAAGATAACCGAGCTACAGAGACCATTAATCACAAAGGTGGAGATTGTTTGAATATTTTGTTGTGATCAATCGATAATATTTATCTCGAGGTTGTATTTCATACTTTAGCCTTTTTTTACTTTTTATTTTATAAGTAGACTAGTCCCTTTTCAAAAAGTGTGAAATGGGCCACCTAATAAAGGAGCCCAATCATTCTCTTTTCAAATCAACTCTTTACCCTAGGTATATGTATTACCTAAAGGGGAATGAGTTGAGAAGGTCTTTCATTATTTTGTGCACAGCTTTTATCATTCTGAGAGAAAACCTTCGTTCATCACTGTAACGTCATTATCAAAACTTATTCTCTGTTAATATAAATCTCTTTTATTGTTTGTGTATTAGTGTTATCATTCCATCCATCATATAGCTAATGAAAGGGATCTGACACTTGAAAATGTGTTCAGTATGTTTTTTCTACAAAATAATTGATTATTGTCATATTGAAATCATATCATAATCCTTGCAAAAAAAATCATATCATAATGTTTTGACATTATCAAAGATTCATATTATTGTATTAAAAATATAATTACATGTATTTTTCAAACATGATAACAAGTAATACTTATAACTGTTTACATATGAAAAGTATAATACTCCTATTTTAGAAATTTCAATTCATTTTCACTCTTATTTAGAGAAAATGATGTTCAATTTATTGACAAAATGCCACATTACTTTTACGCTTTCGTCATCAACCATTGTATCTCAAAAGGATAACCAAATTTCCTTTTGAGATGTCCCAAAAAGATTTGTCATTTCCATTTAAAGTAAGAAATATGTGGTTAAAATTAATTTTCTCTCCTATGCACAAATTTCAACCACACACTTTTTACTTTATAAATCCACGTGAAAGTCAACTTTGGTCAACCTTTTCGGGACGGAATGAGTATAAGGTACCAAACTCATTATTACAACGTATTTCTTTCAATAGACTACGATTATCACATTCTAATTTGATTAGTAGTCTTATTTATAACCTGATTCGAATGAAAATAATTCTTTCAATTAGATAAGAAAAGTAAAAACTTTTTGACACTGGGGTAATGATGATAATGATGAGGGAGATGAGAGAAGTAAAACAATGCACATTTCTATTTCAATTAATGAAACATTCATGGTAACAGAGAAATTCAATATATTTATAAAATGTCACAACATTTTTTAATTAACGACAGTACATATTTCCATTTAAAATAAAGCAAATTTTTTAAATCTATCATACACATATTCTCATTTCTCTCCTTAAATCTCATTTTCATTTGATCCCAAACATCTCTCTATTATTACTCATCCGTAGTGGTAGACCAGGCCCAGTCCGGTTCTAGTTCAGGCCTGGAAGGTTTTGGGTAAGGCCCAAAACCGGCCTAGTTATCACCGCCCACTAGGTCCAGGCCGATTTTCCACTGGGTCCGGGCCGGTTGTTTTTTTTTTTTTGCTTTTCTAGTTAACCCCCCCCCCCCCCCCCCCCAACCCCCAAAATACCTAGGGATGGACTGGGCCGGGCCGAACCGGCCCGGAACCGGACCGGCCCGCTACTGTGCGGGCCCGGACCAGACCGGGCCCGGTTGGCCGGTTCCGGGCTTTTAGCCCGTGTTGGCGGGTCGGGCGGGCCGGTTCCGGGCCCTATTTTTGTTGAACCGGCCCGGGCGGTTCGGGCCGGGCCCGGTTCATTTTTTTTTTTTTTGGTTTTTTCAATTTTTTTTCTTTTCCTAGGGTAGGGCTGGGTGTTTTAGGGAGGTTTGGGGCATGGGGTGAGGGGGGGGGGGGGGTAGGGAGATAACAAGAAAGTAAAAAAAAAAAAAAAAATTGAACCGGGCCCGGCCCGGCCCGGCCCGGTTAGGCCCGGACCCGGTATCAACCCGGGCCGGTTCCGGGCCCATGTAACCCGAAAAAAAGCCCGCCCGGGCCCGGCCCGGAACCGGCCCGGCCCGGGTCCATCCCTAAAAATACCCAGCCCAACCTAGGAAAAATGAAAAAAATGAAAAAACCAAAAAAAATAGGCCCGGGCCGGTTCCTATTTTGGATGACCCGAGCCCGCCCTATGTAACCCCCGGACCGGTCTCTGGCCGGGCCAGGCCAGGCCACAGGCCGGTCGGCCCAGAACCGGTCCATCATTATTCATCCGTACAATAAAGTAGTCCACTTTCATACGTTCACTCATTTTGTAGAACAATACAGATTCTTTTGCCACGGACAGTTTTTACAATTATAAGAACTCTGCATTTGCCATTTTGCCTATTACTCCAAACAAATTGCAAGGCATTCTCCAAACTGTACCCCAAACTTACAACATACAATTACAGATTTTTTAAGTTAGAGAAGCATGATAGGTCGACTTGGGTGTAGAGCAAAAAGGCCTAACGGATAAATAAAAGTTAAAAAGAGAGGTGCTAACAAGTGCAGCATTTTGTTCAAGAATTTCAGACAGTATACCTTTGATTAAAAAGCTGTGTAACCCTACCCCCCATCCCCCACACTGTTACTGCTTAGCCCTTTTGCTGCAACAATAAGGGCACTTGTAGGTCTTGATGCTTGCCGCCTTCGCCGGTGTTATTTTCACGCACTTCCCATGGAACCATCTTTCGCACAAATCGCATCCTATCCAGAACTCATTTTTGGAGTAATTTCCCCCACAGCTCCCGCAAATTGTATCACTTTCGTCCTCTTCGTCTTCACCAATGTCTTCTTCCTCGTTTTCTTCTTCATCTTCATAGCTCTCTTGTACCCTCCTAGGGCTAGGATTTCCTCTCACTGGCTTTTCTCTCTGCTTACAGAAAAGGTAACAATATTGCTAATTTTTAAGACTTATGGTTTGAAGAATTTAGAGCGCATGATAGATTTTTTCCCTAGTTTATCTCTATTTGTCAGTTTTAGGTTAGAAAATAACTACTAGAAAAAGAGCCCTTCTTCATAAAGGCACAATCTCTTAATTTTTGTAAGGTACAACCCTAGTAAATTATGTTTTCGTACATATATTTTTTATACTTACTCACATTTTACGTTTAACTATCATATTTAACATGTTTAGAACACTGCTTTGGAAAACTTACATTCGATTAATTAATTTAATAAAAAAAATATGGTCTTTTATTGAAATGGGACTCTTTTGGGGACAAATGATCAGGTTTTAAACATACTGTCATATTCGTTCCTACCATTTAATGTACAAACAATTTTTTTTTTAATGTACAAACAAATTAACAAACTAATGTCATCTCCGCTCTTTCCTTCCCTACCCTACAAAAGCTTCCTAAAAGGGCTTAGGTTCTAAGTAAGAAGGGTACTGGAACAAAAATTTAAGCTTTCGAAGTTTACCTTTAGATTTGACACGGGCTTATTACCACCGTCCACAATAAGCCTTTCTCTTGATTGGCTTTTTCCTGATGCAATTTCATAGACGGTAGGAAGATCATTTATCAAGGAAAACAGACGTCTCCTGTAAAGCAAAACAGTGCCCATAAACCGCAACAGATGAATTAGGCTGGAACTCAGGGCTGAGAAGCTTAGATAAAGTTATATTGAAAAACTGAGACTAATAAATCAATACTCCTTAAGGATGAGCAATTGAACTGTAGTACAGTAGCACTTGCTAATAAAAGTGGATTTCTTAAAAATTGGGCAAGAAAACAGCAGATTCATAAGATGTGGCACTTAAGGATTGAGCAATTGAACTGTTCTCGCAGAAATATGCAATTCAAAAAGTCTCAACAACAAAAAAGACTATCATGGCTGATGGTTATTTTTGTATAAAAAACTAAAATAAGTGTTATCTTCAAGCACCAAGAAAAAAATTATATGTCCCGACTCATATTTATATGGAATTACTCGAGGTTCCAGAAACATCGATATTGCATAAAGTGCAATATTACTTATGTTCCTCTATGCATACAGGTTGAACAAAGGATGGATAGTGGACCCTAATTGTTTAAAACCTAACTGAAATGTTTTAGGAGAGCTAAAAGCAGATCCTTTTTAAACCATGGTAAATACTTACTCAGTACAATATATCTCCAAGGATAATAATCACCCAAATTTCAAGCGTTTAGGCACAATTAAAAGTATACCAGGGTAATCCTATAGAGATCAGTTGTATGGGATCAACCCAAGAACCATCAACCATGATTAGTTTATGTCCTTGGATCACGGGATTAGTATATAATTAAACACATGACTAAGGATATGTGTTTATTATCTCATCAAACTTCCACGCTCTTTCTTCCCTGTCAAGTTAAATAGTCATCAGGCCTTCTATGCTGACACTATACACTTGTACCACACAATTGCTTACTCTATTTAATTACCAACATTATCCCTTCTCAAAGAACATTAACATATGAAAACATATCCATAAATGTTCCGACACACCCAATTTATATCTCCGACACCTAATATGTGTATTTAATAAGAACCACCGGCATATACTACGATGTTTGTCACATGCACCTTTAGCAGGGCCGGCCCAAGGGAGGTGTGGGCAGCTCAACCGCACAGAGCCCAAAATTTCTGAAAGCCCCAAAAAAAAAATTAACAGTAGTATTACTACGATTATTATAACTAATACTTGTAAGAAGTTTCAAAGACGCCGCAGAAGCAGGGACAGGTCTGGGACAACCCAGGAATGCCTCGCCTTCATACCACGCGTCCCAATTTACTAAAATTAAATTTTATTTTGTTTAAACTCAAATCGGGAGAATACATACGCCCCATCAAAGCCAGAAATCACAAACAGATTGCAGGGGCCTAGGAGTTGCAGTTTAGCCTACGTATACAATGCAAAGACATTATATAAAAAAATTAGAAGCAGGAGTCCATAGTTACTTCCGGTGTGGGAATTCCTGTGAAAAGTTTGAGAAGTTTGATTTCAAAGGAATAAAACTGCATATATGGTCAATACCCATCAGTAGGATTTAACTTAGCTTAGAGCATGTATGGTCAATACACATTACCAACTTATCTACATCTCCATATATAGCTTAATAGTTATCTTAAATATTGAAAAATAAATATCATTATTACTACTCTCTCCATCCCAAATTGAGTTGCATAGTTTACCTTTTTGGATCAATCAGATTCGTATTAATCTTTTAATTAGGATATCAATTCTAAATTAAAATTTTAATTTGGATCTTGAAATTTTATTACCAATAGCAAAAAAACAAGCTTGCAGGTTGTAGCGTAGCATCTCCTTCAGCCCTTCCTGAATCCCAATTCCCATTTTCTGTAAAATTAAACGAGCGGGAATGAAGGGAAGAAGGGGCGAAGGGCGTAGCGAAGCTAGCAGGCTAGCCGAGTCGTAGGCCGCATGGAATTCTCTCCGCCTACGGCCGACCACCTAGCTGCATAGCCGATGCCACTCGCCAATCGCCATTTGACCATCTCCAGTTGTAGGCTCCATTTTCTCAGGACCGGCCCTGACCTTTAGTTACATAGGAGAAGATGTTTATTACATGCAAATGTTATTACTTTCATATGAAAGTTTAGGGTATGATTTACTTTCACATGTATTGTAAGGTTATCTGTCTGTGAAAATCAATACTCCCTCCGTCCCCTTTTAAATGTCCCGTTTTACCATATTGGGATGTCCCTATTTAATTATCTCATACCTTATTTCGTAAAGTTTGTGTGGCTCAAAATCATTCTTACTTTATTCTTACTTTATCAATTAATATCAACCACACAAACCCACTTTTCTTAAAACTCGCGCCACCCTCTTACGGGACATTTAAAAGGGGACGGAGGGAGTATATCATTTTCATTCTTTTACAATATGAAAGTTTTTTACATGGTGAGAGGAGTGAACTACACTAATGGATAGGACAGAAACTATTTTCCTTGTAATTAATAATCAACAATTTAGTACTACATCCGTCCTATTTAATAATCAAAACGGCACGGTTATTTAGACATAATTAAATAAGGTAGTTTGATTATATTTTGAGAAATAATTTCAATAGGTATATAATATATGAGGTTATTGTTGATAACTGTTATGTTATAAATGTATTATTTTAAATATTTAAGGATTAACTTATCATTTAAGATTGTTAATTGTTTCCTAAATTGGAAATGGGAACTTTTATATGGGACGTCCAAAAAAGAAAAGTGTGAACCTTTCAATGGGACGAAGGGAGTATTCTGTTTGCAAAAAATTACCTTGAAAGATGAACGGTTTACTGCCCCCCCCCCCAGAGATTTTTAGTAACAAATGCCCTCTAACTGTGGGGGAAAAAAATTTAGTAATACAGTTTTCAGTTACTAAGTTACTAATTTAGAGCCTATTTGGTAACACCTTTTTTGGCAGCCACCTTTTGAACCAGACGTCAACCTTTTGATTCTGCACGCTGAAATGTGTAATATTAAAAATAGGTAGGAAAATTTCCAAAAAAAGGAGTACAAACAACTCTAAGTTCCAAAATAGGGGTATTATGTACTATCTTTAAGTTATTACCCTAAATAGGAGTAAAACATTAGAAAAGGTCCAAGGCTAAAGGGTCAAATCGGTTCGTGTACTTGTCCCGTTTGCTCAATTCAGTCCCTGCACTGAAAAAGGTTTGTATCACACCCTGAACCGAAAAAAATAATTCAAATTTCATTTTTTATGGTCACCTTCCACGTCACCCATCAAGTTGTCAAGCATTCATCTAACTTGGAAACTAAAAGCTCAAATAAGTCCCTCAACATGTTCGATTTGTTCAATTAACCTCCTCAGCTTTATAGAAGGTTCAACATTACAATAAATTCAAAATAATTTAGAATAAATATAAAGTAATAAAGATATAGTATATACTACGTATATGGTAAAAATATTTATATTTTTCAGTTAATTCAAACTATGAATATAAAAATATAAAATAGATGAAAGTTACTATATGTATATCTTCTATATTAATACTTTACTCTTAAATTTTTATTTTAGTCCTTCCATTTCCTATATTAAATTTTATTTCTTATTTTTAATTTTATTTATATTTTATATTTGGTATTTAATATTTTATATTATACTAAATAATATATGTCCAAAAACTGCTCAAAGTAGGATGCAACTAGAGAAAATTCTAAATGAGGACTAAATATGTTTTCTTTCCAAAATAAGACTTATCTAAGGATTTTTTACAAGAATATTACTAAAATAAAACTTATTTACTTAAATATGACTATTCATTACTACAACGTAGTGGTGTGGTAATTCATGTTCAAAATTTGAACATGAATTACTATGATTTCATTACTACTCTAGTAACTAGTCAGATTTTTGTAAACCATCCTTATTTTGGTCATATTTATGTAATTATTTTCTTATCTAATCCTAACTAGGAATGCATGAGTCCTATTTTGGGATGAAAATATTGAAACTTTTATTTGAGAAAATTCAATATGTTTTTTCCTATTTAGGGATTTCTTTTCTTTAGAGTTTTAGTTTTGTTTTTATGTTTATATTTTATATTTCAATATAATTTTAACTTGTATTCCTATTAATTTTGTTTTGTAATATCCATAGAAATCATATTTATACGTTATGTTATACAACTATTTCGCTTTGAAATTTTATATTTTTATTTTATAACTTATTTTTGAAGTATTATAAATTTCTAATTTATATTTCATGTGTAGTAATTAATTCAAAACCTCCAAAATGATAAAATATAGAAATGAAATCTTAAATAAAATATTAATGTAAAAACATGGATATAAAGTATGAATATGAAGTTTAAAATTATATTTACGTTTTTTATTTTTATTTGTATTTTTTTATTTTTATATTCATATATTTTATTTTGAATTTTGTGTTTTTTTCTATTTGATATGTGATTTATTACAATTTTGGCACCTTTTATTAGTTTAGGGAGTGATTTGAACAATTGTGATAGGTTCAACCGTTCAGGGACTTATTTGGACATTTCATTTCCACGTCATCGGTTTACCGGGTGACAAAAGGGTACGAATTGGACTTTCTTTTAGTTCAAGGACTGAATTGAGCAAACACGACAAGTACATTGACCTATTTCACCTTTTAGCCAAGTTCCAAAGTAGAAATTCGTTTTAATGTATTCCCTGAATAAGAGTAGTTTCGTTAGTCTTCCTATTATGCCCATCTCCGCCAATTGTGTTTATCAAGTCTGGATCCAGACTTTCTTTTTTCTCCCCTCTCTCCTCTCCCTTCTCTCCTCTTGCGTCTGTCATCAGTAATATGCATACCTCCATTTTCTTATTTTGCCTTCAACTGTATTCTTCCGATCTCTATTTCCCTCATCTCTGGCGATCTTTGGAGGTAGGGATGATCAATATTTTCTCCATTTCCGTCCACCAGTGAGCGGCGAACGGCGGTGAGCAGTGGCCAGGTAGGGTGAATTTTTTTTCTTCTTCTTTTTCTTCTTCCTCCACCAACTCTGTTTTTGTTATTTGTAAATTTTTTAGTTTTTTATTTATTTCGAGAATATTTTTATTCATTCTAAAATTTATTGGTTTAATTTTTTTAAATGATACTCCCTCCGTCCCGAATTGAGTTGCAAACTTTGACCGGCACAAGGATTAAGGAATGATAATAAATGATGCTTGCTTTTTTACACTTTTGTCCTTCATCCTAAAAGTAGATGCCTTTAGATTAATGGGGAAAAAGTAAAAGTAAGGATAAATTTGTCAATTACTTTTAATTACATACCTAAAATGGAAAGTGGAAAACCATTTCGGGACAACCAAAATAGGAAATTTTGCAAAACAAATTGGGACAGAGGGAGTACAATTATTGCTATTTTCCCCATTCAATATCATCTATTACAAATTGATTTCAGAATAATGTCATTTTTATGGGATTACTTTTACAATGTTAAAGTAAAAGTATTCCTTCGAGAGTGAGTGCCACTTTTGTAGCACTAACGTTACGAAAGTGGCACTTATTTCTGCCGGGATGGCAATGATGTCATTAAGATGGCACTTCTATGGTAGTGGCGGTGCCAAAGGTCACACTGCTCACGCATATGAGGCACGGCGATGCTAGATGAGGCGACAACATCATCAAATGTGGTGGCAATAACGCGGGATATGGCGGAGGCTGGCGGCATCACTGGATGAGGTGGTGGATGAAGCGGCCAGTAGAGGCGGCGCCTACGCCGGTAATATCAGTGACAGTGGCACCGGAGATGGTTGTGGTCATGCTCCAGAGGACAGTTTTATTGTGTGTCTGTGCCTCTCATATTTTCTTTTATTATTTTATTTTATATTATTAATCATCATCATTATTCCAGTGCCGCAAAGGCTCCCACCTACGGTGGGGTAAGAGGGGTCGGATGCATGCAGCTTTACCCATGTACAAAAGCACAAAGAGATTGTTTCCAGATGACCCGAGGTGAAAATCACGTCAAAATATTGCATGGACTGAGTGTTATAATAAAGAAGCGCAGACAGTTTAATGAGTCATTTCGTTTTATTTCATCATATTAGTTTTTTATATTATTAATCAATAAACTGATTTTTTCATTAGGAGTAGTTTTGTCAACCCAACTCTTTTTAGTCCTACTAAAACCTTACGAAAAAGTGCACTCCTGTTTGTGCAGACTTCTTATGTTTTACTGCTATATGGGTAATTTTCCCTTATGTTTTTCTTCCTTAAAATAGAATTAACTTACTTACTATCATCCTAAAAACATGTCATATTTTGGCATTATCGGTCATTAATATGACAGTAGTTATACCGTAATTGACAGTACTTTCCAAGTATCAATATAGTTAGTCCTATTTAGTAAATAAAAACGTAGTACTTCTATTTTGGAATTTCACGTTGTTCTTACTTCTATTTAGGACAATTTCTTAGATAAGTAAGGATGGAGTTACTTTTTAATTAACCAGATTTTGCCGATTTCACGTTGTTTAATTATATTTTTTCATAATTAACCAGATTTTGCCGATTTCACGTTGTTTAATTATATTTTTTCATAATTAACCAGATTTTGCCGATTTCAGGTACAGTCTCAACAACTTCAACCGAGTCATCCATTTTCACCACCATGAAAAGCCTCAAGTTTCCAATAATAGGTGCAAAACTATTAAAACATGAACGGGTTTGTAGAATTGGTTTTCTGTTGTATTAGTGATATTTCAGTGTGTCAAATTATAGCCAATTTGCCATAAATACATTCAAAACTTAACCCAATAAAAAACTGCAGCATAAGTTCATATCACAGAAGAAACGTTTAAAGTTAATAAACAAATTAGATCTTTTATGAAACAGCTACACACCTACAGCCTTTGGAAGGAAAATGAAATGTGTATAAACATTTTCAGGGTAGAAAAGTGTCTCCTTTGGGAATCCAGAGGTTAAATAATAAGAATAGCAATCTCTTAACAGAAGGATTGAGATTTTAAAACCAACAAACGGCCATCCATAAGGGATCTAAGTGTCAGCATGCAAACAAGTAGGGTAAGAGATGGGATAATGACCAAACATCTAAAGGAGAACATGTGCTTAAGAAGTGAATCTGCAAGAAGAAGAATAATTCATTGTTCTTTCTCAATGAAATCCTTATTTCCCAAATGCAAAACACCATTACATTAGATTTATGAAGTGCCAAAAACCTTCAGAACTAACACTGATAGCACTTTACCGGTAGGTGGTAAATGCATGTCTCCAAATTACTTGTGTGGTATACTCGTGGTGCATTCACTTATCAAAATATGGGTTTGGATTTTAAAACCACTACTACGCATGTTCTACAGAGAGTAATGATGTGCAATTCAAAGTAGCTTTACCATTTTAAGCAAACTTATTTTGAACTTTAACAAAACTTAAAGTCCTCCACCAACTTGACAGCAGATTACTGTATCTAAGAATTAAAGCAGATAATTGACCACAATTGGGCAAACAGGTAACTACCTTCTAATACTAATGTATTTAGTACCCTATGACTCTGTTTGGTAGACTTATATGACTTATTTTGCTTAATGAGTATAATAAGTAACTTTTGACGAATGCATCGGGGCAGAAGTAGATGTTACGAAATTTCATCCTATTTGGTCACCCATTAAATTGTACTCCATATTGAAACTGACAAACATGCCCTAAACTAGCTTCCTCGAAGGGGAAATCAGTGTCATATATAATTTTAGTGGTCAATGTGCATCTGTTACAGCTCAAGTTGAAAAGCCCATTGGTATGACAATATAAAGACTATCACTAAAACTGCAGGTATAAGAAAATCCCAATACAAAACATGCCCTAAACTAGCTTCCTCAAATAGGAAATCAGTGCCATATATACTTTTAGTGGTCAATGTGCATCTGTTACAACTCCAGTTGAAAATCCCATTGGTATTACACTATAAAGACTATCATTAAAACTGGGGGTATATGGAAATCCCAATTAGAAAATTCCCTAATGAAGTATGTGAGTTGACTGGAAAAGATTGTACCTTTCGGAACGGTTAAGCCGAGCACCAAAGTAGAAAGCCACAGCGAGCAGCCATGAATCAGTGTGCATAGCCACCAAAGTCAGCCAATCTCTTTTATCCATCCCATCCCTTGCAAAATTGATGCCTAGAACTGGCTCTGGTATCTCGGGCGGAACATCCTCAGCAGGCAATGTGACTTCCCATGACTCATCCGGGTGACCATACAGGCACAAATTATCTTTCTCTGCACAAAAGAATCCGCCTCACACAATCAAAACCCGAAAAGCAAATTCTTTTCTCACAAAAATGAAGTAATATAACCGTTAACAGCTTGTCTACCTGGATCGCACTGTGAGAAGAAGTCATCCACATCTGCAAAATTCCAGAAAAAAGAAGTGAATCAGTGTTCATATAAACTAATAGTTCAGTTCAGCGACGAGTTGCTAGCGCATATACAATGCATGTATCATAAATGCGAAAGTTGAAGAGTAGTGGTTCACCGCGAGTAAGGGCTTGGATAACGGCGGAGCGGCGGGCGGAAAAGTTTTTGAAGATTTCTTCAACGGAGCGGGGATTTGGAGGACAAGAAGCCATGTTGATCGGCGCCTCTACAGTGTAGTGAAGATCTGTGGTTATGATCGTAAATAAGCAGAGAGATGACGCCGATTAATGGGGGATTTTCTAATTTAAGTTGCAGTGCCTTTGTCTGAATACCGGCAGGGCTTAATTTACACGGGCGGAGATTTAGGGCAAACGTGTATGCCGCAAATCCCTAAACAGTTAGTAAATGCATTATTTTAAAATTTATTTTAAACTCTTAGGACATGTTTACTTCACCGGTTATTAAACGGTGCTTATTAAGACCTGTGTTAATAAGCGGCGCATAAAATAAACAATGTTGTAAGACCGTGTTTACTTCAAACGGTTTTAAAACACCGCTTAACATTAAAATGTCCAAAATAACCCTATACATATATATACACACAAACATTCATGAACACAAGTATATAATATAATATGTGTACCCATACCCCTAACCCCTTACCCACCCTACCTTACCCCGACCCCACCCACCGCCTACCCCTACCCCCTACCCCTACCTTACCTACCTGACCCCACCCTACCTACCCGACCCCACCCTAACCTGTCCCCACCCTACCCTACCCCCGACCCCATAGGCCCCCCATAGGCCCGTAGGGGTAGGGGTAAGGTGGGGTCGGGTAGGGGTAGGTTAGGTGGGGTAAGGGTAGGGGTGGGGTGGGGTGGGGTAGGGTAGGTGGGGTAAGGGTAGGGGTGGGGTGGGGTCGGGGTAGGTGGGGTAAGGGGTCGGTTAGGTAGGGTAGGGGTGGGGTAGGTAGGGTGGGGTCGGGGTGGGGTAGGGTAGGTGGGGTAAGGGTAGGGGTGGGGTGGGGAGGGGGCGGGGTAGGTGGGGTAAGGGTAGGGTGGGGGTCGGTTAGGTAGGGTAGGGGTGGGGTAGGTAGGGTGGGGTCGGGGTGGGGTAGGGTAGGTGGGGTAAGGGTAGGGTGGGGTCGAGGTAGGCCTACCCTTACCCCACCCTACCTCGACCCCACCCTACCCCACCTACCCTACCCACCCCGACCCCACCCCCTACCCTACCTAACCGACCCCCCACCCTACCCTTACCCCACCTACCCTGACCCCACCTCACCCCCGACCCCATAGGCCCCCTATAGGCCCGTAGGGGTAGGGGTAAGGTGGGGTCGGGTAGGGGTAGGGTAGGTGGGGTAAGGGTAGGGGTGGGGTGGGGTGGGGGTATGGTAGGTGGGGTAAGGGTAGGGGTGGGGTGGGGTAAGGGTAGGGTGGGGTCGGGGTGGGGGTAGGATAGGTGGGGTAGGGTGGGGTCAGGGTAGGGTGGGGGGTCGGTTAGGTAGGGTGGGGTCGGGGTGGGGTAGGGTAGGTGGGGTAAGGGTAGGGGTGGGGTGGGGTCGGGGTAGGTGGGGTAAGGGTAGGGTGGGGGTCGGTTAGGTAGGGTAGGGGTGGGGTAGGTAGGGTGGGGTCGGGGTGGGGTAGGGTAGGTGGGGTAAGGGTAGGGTGGGGTCGAGGTAGGCCTACCCTTACCCCACCCTACCTCGACCCCACCCTACCCCCACCTACCCTACCCACCCCGACCCCACCCCCTACCCTACCTAACCGACCCCCCACCCTACCCTTACCCCACCTACCCTGACCCCACCTCACCCCCGACCCCATAGGCCCCTATAGGCCCGTAGGGGTAGGGGTAAGGTGGGGTCGGGTAGGGGGTAGGGTAGGTGGGGTAAGGGTAGGGGGTGGGGTGGGGTGGGGTATGGTAGGTGGGGTAAGGGTAGGGGTGGGGTGGGGTAAGGGTAGGGTGGGGTCGGGGTGGGGTAGGATAGGTGGGGTAGGGTGGGGTCAGGGTAGGGTGGGGGTCGGTTAGGTAGGGTGGGGTCGGGGTGGGGTAGGGTAGGTGGGGTAAGGGTAGGGGTGGGGTGGGGTCGGGGTAGGTGGGGTAAGGGTAGGGTGGGGGGTCGGTTAGGTAGGGTAGGGGTGGGGTAGGTAGGGTGGGGTCGGGGTGGGGTAGGGTAGGTGGGGTAAGGGTAGGGTGGGGTCGAGGTAGGCCTACCCTTACCCCACCCTACCTCGACCCCACCCTACCCCACCTACCCTACCCACCCCGACCCCACCCCCTACCCTACCTAACCGACCCCCACCCTACCCTTACCCCACCTACCCTGACCCCACCTCACCCCCGACCCCATAGGCCCCTATAGGCCCGTAGGGGTAGGGGGTAAGGTGGGGTCGGGTAGGGGTAGGGTAGGTGGGGTAAGGGTAGGGGTGGGGTGGGGTGGGGTATGGTAGGTGGGGTAAGGGTAGGGGTGGGGTGGGGTAAGGGTAGGGTGGGGTCGGGGTGGGGTAGGATAGGTGGGGTAGGGTGGGGTCAGGGTAGGGTGGGGGTCGGTTAGGTAGGGTGGGGTCGGGGTGGGGTAGGGTAGGTGGGGGTAAGGGTAGGGGTGGGGTGGGGTCGGGGTAGGTGGGGTAAGGGGTAGGGTGGGGGTCGGTTAGGTAGGGTAGGGGTGGGGTAGGTAGGGTGGGGTCGGGGTGGGGTAGGGTAGGTGGGGTAAGGGTAGGGTGGGGTCGAGGTAGGCCTACCCTTACCCCACCCTACCTCGACCCCACCCTACCCCACCTACCCTACCCACCCCGACCCCACCCCCTACCCTACCTAACCGACCCCCACCCTACCCTTACCCCCACCTACCCTGACCCCACCTCACCCCCGACCCCATAGGCCCCTATAGGCCCGTAGGGGTAGGGGTAAGGTGGGGTCGGGTAGGGGTTAGGGTAGGTGGGGTAAGGGTAGGGGTGGGGGTGGGGTGGGGTATGGTAGGTGGGGTAAGGGTAGGGGTGGGGTGGGGTAAGGGTAGGGTGGGGTCGGGGTGGGGTAGGATAGGTGGGGTAGGGTGGGGTCAGGGTAGGGTGGGGGTCGGTTAGGTAGGGTGGGGTCGGGGTGGGGTAGGGTAGGTGGGGTAAGGGTAGGGGTGGGGTGGGGTCGGGGTAGGTGGGGTAAGGGTAGGGTGGGGGTCGGTTAGGTAGGGTAGGGGTGGGGTAGGTAGGGTGGGGTCGGGGTGGGGTAGGGTAGGTGGGGTAAGGGTAGGGTGGGGTCGAGGTAGGCCTACCCTTACCCCACCCTACCTCGACCCCACCCTACCCCACCTACCCTACCCACCCCGACCCCACCCCCTACCCTACCTAACCGACCCCCACCCTACCCTTACCCCACCTACCCTGACCCCACCTCACCCCCGACCCCATAGGCCCCTATAGGCCCGTAGGGGTAGGGGTAAGGTGGGGTCGGGTAGGGGTAGGGTAGGTGGGGTAAGGGTAGGGGTGGGGGTGGGGTGGGGTATGGTAGGTGGGGTAAGGGTAGGGGTGGGGTGGGGTAAGGGTAGGGTGGGGTCGGGGTGGGGTAGGATAGGTGGGGTAGGGTGGGGTCAGGGTAGGGTGGGGGTCGGTTAGGTAGGGTGGGGTCGGGGGTGGGGTAGGGTAGGTGGGGTAAGGGTAGGGGTGGGGTGGGGTCGGGGTAGGTGGGGTAAGGGTAGGGTGGGGGTCGGTTAGGTAGGGTAGGGGTGGGGTAGGTAGGGTGGGGTCGGGGTGGGGTAGGGTAAGTGGGGTAAGGGTAGGGTGGGGTCGAGGTAGGCCTACCCTTACCCCACCCTACCTCGACCCCACCCTACCCCACCTACCCTACCCACCCCGACCCCACCCCGACCCTACCTAACCGACCCCTTACCCCACCTACCCCGACCCCACCCCACTCCTACCCTTACCCCACCTACCCTTCCCCACCCCGACCCCACCCCTACCTACCCCACCCCTACCCTACCTAACCGACCCCCACCTGGGGTCAGGGTAGGTGGGGTAAGGGTAGGTGGGGTAAGGGTAGTGTGGGGTCGGGGTAGGGTGGGGTCGGGGTAGGTGGGGTTGGGGTCGAGGTGGGGCAGGGATAACAATAGGTTACGGGCAAGGGGTAAATTCGGAAACTGAAAAAGCTTAAAGTGCCGCTTAATTAATACATGGGGGGTGGTATGCTTAATAAGCGGCACTTTAAGCACCTCTTTCGGTTAGTAAGCGGCTTTTTAAACAGTGTGCGTGTTTACTTCACCTGTCTTACTAACCTAACTGTGACTTTAGCAGTGAAGTAAACACCTCCTTAGTTTTAGAGGCCGTTTGTCAACACTGTTTTTCGGGTTATCAGACTTATCAGACAACTTTTTCACCAAACACACAATTTTTGCTTTCACGCGCTGAATTGTGTAATAAGCAGAAAAAGTAAGGTTGAAGTTACTTTTTTGGTTGTATTGTCTGAAATTACTGTAGATGACTATTTTAGCTATTTTACATATAATTTTTTCTTTATGTTATTAATAAAATATATTTTAAAGTTAATTTTTCCTTAAATCAGCAGAATCAGCCAAAACAACCACTTCAGCCAAAACTTCATAAACTTCAGCAGAATAAGCTAAAACAACCGATTTTCGTGCTACAAAACGGGCTCTTAGAGATGAAGTGGAAACATATTATTTTAAGAAAATTATCTCGGGGTTATGCCAAAAATATTATTAAAAAATGAGTATTGGAGAAAAATGTAACATGTTTTTTCAATTTTCAAAAAAGATTAAAAAGAGTTTAAGAGACTATTATACTCTAATACTAATATAATCTCATTCACTAGTGTTACGATAACTTCTTCCAAAAAAACCAGTGTTACGATAACGCTACAGTGACCAAAAATCCGACTCGTCAATTACAGTTACACGACCAGTTACATTTATTCGACCTCCCACTCTCACAACACTTACATGACTTGAGTTGTCGGTTACAGTTACCTGATCGGTCAGTTACAGTTACTTGACCGGTCACTTACAGTTATATGACCTGTAACTTGCTCTAATCGGTCAGTTACAGTTACTTGACCGGTCACTTACAGTTATATGACTTGTAACTTACTCGACTAGTCAATGACCAACACTCTCCTCACCTATGACCACCAGCGTCGTCGTCGGCCACCACCGTCGATCATCACTGTCAACCACCGCCCCGACTCGACTCCCCAACACCCAGCCATATCCTCAACCCTAGTCCTCAACCACCTCCACAATTGTTAGAAAATAGAAGCGGTTGTAGGTGTATAAATATATGATAAGTGATTTTAGTGAGGTGTAGTGTAGAGGATGTGTTTTAGAGTGGAACTCTTGTCTCTAGAAAAGATGTATTGTATTGATATTGGTTGGTTTGCTTGG